ATAATACATGTCATTACTTTTATTGTGTTTAATTGAAAGCATTAGTTGTTTAAACATGTCTACTACTGAAGTGCTTCGCAACAGAAATGAAAATGTAAACATTTTTAAAACCCGGAAGAGTCAGAAAAATATCATGATGTGCTTTTATCCAATGACCATTTTAGTTGTATATTGATTGATAGATTCCAAATAGATAATTGTAATAATAGGCCGCCCTAGATATCTATTCATGCACATGTTTTATTATATAGTATATATATGTATATCAAATAGTCCTTCTACGGAAGCCTTTCTGCAGCTCGAGAGGCCTGAATAGCTCTTTGAACTGATGACAATGTGAAGTGAAATAGTTGTGGTCACTTGAGTGTGTGTGTGAAACACTTTAGATTCCTGTGATTTCCTCCAGCTACTTCCAGCAGAGGATTCATAATTCTGCTGCTTTTCATTTGACTTGAGCGCTCAAATGAGGAGCACAATGTTCCTTTTTCCAATTTGTCCTTTTGAATTAGTGATGAGAAGAGAAACTGCCGTGCACTCTCACCACACAACCAAAGGCAGAATATCCACACACACACTTTCAGAGAGGTACCTGACACACCAATACACACCCTACAGGTCCACACACAGCAGTGCTAAGGCACCCCACAATTGAAAGACATGGCTACGCTCCTATGATGAAGGAACTATAAAGGAACAAAGGAGCAATATAATATAAATGAGGCAGACCTGTGTGCCGCCCGGAGTAAGTGTTCCCTGTGCACTGCTGTAACTATAAGAGTCTTTTCTTTGGGCATCATATAATGCTATACAGTAAAATAGTAGTGTGTGTGTGTGTGTGTGTGTGTGTGTGTGTGTGTGTGTGTGTGTGTGTGTGTGTGTGTGTGTGTGTGTGTGTGTGTGTGTGTGTGTGTGTGTGTGTGTGTGTGTGTGTGTGTGTGTGTGTGATTCAGGGCATTTTAGGAATAATTGAAACTTTTATTTTCTGAGTAATAGCCCCATCTAGAGTTATGCAGTCCATCAGGAAAATTACTACATACACGCACGCCCCAAGCGCTACACACGCTGCACACACGCACACGCACACACACACACACACACACACACACACACACACACACACACGCACACACACACACGCACACACACATAAACACACACACTTGCAAGGGTTAGCCACTGACTCACATGTATTCGTTAACTTCTGTTTCAAAGTGATGTCCTTCCTCTAAAGACTTTCATCATCTTTCTAGTTTTGAAACATAAATACACACATGGGTACAGTACACACACACACACACACACACACACACACACACACACACACACACACACACACACACACACACAGGCCCCTATATCGCAGACACCCAATCTATCTCACACATCACTCTCAAAGGCCTTGTTGCTAGGAGATAGTGCTCTATTTGTGGAGAGAGAGCGACAAAGAGACACACAGCGAGATATATGGGGAGGTTGGTTTATCTACTGCAGGATCACCCAGATCAAATGGACCCAGTCCTGAAATGTGTAAGCATGTATTGCTTTTTTAACACATATAACAACCTCAGCATGTTGAAGCATTCAAATAAAAACCCATTGCTAATGTAAAGCAAGTTGCTTACTTCAGTCCTCAACAGAGAGAAAGGAAATCACTTCATTTGTTCACATACAGTCACTTTGTTTTTATAGTATTATTACAAATATCACTCAGTTGATAACTAGCAAGCCATTGACTCTCATCCATTCAAATCCCCTTGTATTCCCTTTTCCAGCATGTGGGTCTACATTAATAATGAACACCACAACAGTTAGGTGCTCAACAATCACCCAGTGCAAATCTTCATACATGTGCCGCCGTAAAGTCACTTTACCAAATGATACTTTGTAGTGTTTGATACAGCGGAGGAATGCAGCAGCTGCCGGTCGGCTCGTCTCCTCACAGCGGTCGCTCTAATCCATTGAAGCATTCCACAGGAGCACAGAAAGCCCAAATATGTGCACAGAAAATCACCTTTTCAAATGCATCCATTCAAGTATAATAAGTCACGTGCACAAGGGCTTTGAGAGAAGCTCAGCCACACACACACTACATTACAAATGATCATCTTTTGAAATCTCACCCACTCTGTCACACACAGCATCTTTATCAACAAGCACAGAACAATCTCATGTTATCTTCACAGCGTCTGCACCTGTCTTGTGTTTCTGCTCACACATTTCATCAACTGTTCCAAGCCACCCTTCAGAGAACCCTGTGAGCAAATAGAAGCACCTTTGCAGCATGACCATGTGACCTTTTGAGCAGAACGGTCTATGAATTTGATGTAAACGGATGAATGATTGTATAGCCCCTTAACTGTGGTCCTGACGTCTTATCATTCCTAAAGGCCCGCTGGAATCTTAATCAGTTACACATGTTGCTCTCTACCAGCGTCCCTGCCCTGCTCTCTTTACCATCTGTCCATCCACACTCCTTTTGAACAATCCTCTCACGGTGACA